AAGCAGAGCTTTTGCAGATCCTGTTTCTGTACTCATACATCCAAGTGTAAGTGAGGAAGAATTAGGCCTGTGATCAGAAGCACTGTGAGAAAATAAGTAGTAGAATTATTTGTCTTTGGTGATACTTTAAGGCCCTAAGAGGCAGTTACACAATATTTTCTGTTAGTGGCTGATGCACACAGAAATAATGAACACACTTTAAGGCAAAAATATCTTGTTTTTTCTCTGATAAAATTTGTCAAATTTCAAGCAAAAACAAGTTAAAAGCAATTCCTCTGGGTTTATTCTAATTAGGTAAAATAGTTGAATAGTTTAAGATAAGATGGGTAGATAAAGCATGCGGTGCAGAGAGGGTAACAGTTATCTTTGCTGGTTTAATGAGGAAGGAAAGGAATAAATGGGAAGGGAGAAGTACCACATAACTCCCATCTCTGCTGAGCTCAGAATCTTTGATGTGTACTTCATTAATGAGTTCTCAGGTTTATCTTGTGTACACGTTTTGCGGCTACACTGAGGATGAATAGTGGAAAGTGCTGGTACAGGACAAGTAGTGGGAATGTCATCTGAACTGGGAGAGGACTGGGGACTGCCACTGTTCCCACCCTTACAGTGATTTACACAGCTTTGACAACTTCAGCCCAAGATATAAAAGTTGCAACTTTGGTGTGTGACTTTTGATATGAGAGAAAGAAAATTTGTCTAGACCATAGAAGCTTATCTGTTAACGTTACCTAAAAAGAATCCCATTCTCATCAACTTTGGTGCCAGCTCTTATTTATTATAAATAAATACCTCTATAAACAAATTTTTTTTTTTGAGGTATCTACTGTTTATCAGGACATACTGAAAAAAGTACTACCCTAGAATAATAAAAGAACAGCTGTTCTGGAACAATTTTGTTCATGAAGATTGGGGAGGAAGTTTGCAGATATCTCAGTAAACTCAAGGATGGGTTGTACCTCTGCATGTGACTCATGTCTGTGGTGACTTGTAGGATTGCATCCTTTCTGTTATTTGAACTGTTCAATGTAAAAATTGTTGGAGAATTTTAGTAAAATTTGAACACCATCGCTCTTTGTCTTGACACAGCAATGCATATTACTTTTCTATTTTTTTTACCCTTTTTTTTGGTATAACTGAGGGTACATGCAAGAAAAAATCATCTGCTGTTTGTGAATTACATAGTTCAGGTGCCTATATTTCACCTAGAAATGTAATCATTTGACACATCAGAGTAGTATAATTGGAAGTAGTTATGATCTAACAGAAGATTATACCTTCAGGTTAAGACTGACTTGAGGCAGTAGATAAACTCGGAAGAAACAAAACACTTGTATCCATGCAAAGGTCATTGATAATAAAAAGTCAAGGTAGAAAACCAGAAATCAAACCAGAATCAAAATGTTTTGTAAAACATGCATTTAAAAAGACATCAACTTAATTAATAGATGTTTTTTTAGTATTTCATTTTTCTTTGAAAAGGACTTACAGATTCAAAAGAAAAGCAGGAAACACACAATACTAGGTCCTCAAGTGTATCTGAAATGCCATAGCTTCATTTGAGTGTGACTTGAAGGACTATTCTGAAAAATTTATTATGTGAAGATATTCATATAGTTAATATCATGTGTCATTACTCTTCAGTGAGTCTTCTCATGGCTTATATTAAACAAAGATGTCTTTGTGCGAATGGGTTTTCTGATGTCTCATAGATTTACATCTTCATGGGCCCTCACTGATTTGGTATGTAACGTCCAACTTTTAAGATACAGCACAGTATGTACAGAGTGGTAACTATACTGAAATTTATGAATATAATATAATATAATGGAAAAGAATAAATACTAGACCAAACAAATAATTTGATTTCATTGTGCATGTATCTTTTAGTGTTTTGGAAAAAATGTTTGTAGGTGTTTCTTGAAATAGTATTTTTATTTTAGATGAAATCACTATTTTCTTGGGATTTTTTTTTATTTTTAATTGAAGGAATTTAATAGAAATGTGGTGTTCAGATTAGTGAAAGTGAGGATGCTTATTGGATAATATAGTTGGTACAAGCAAAAGTATGTGTCTAGTCTCTCATCTGTGCTTTTGCTGCTTTATGTTACACAGTTAGTCATTAATCCTCACTCTTTCAGGCCTTCCAGTTACTTGCCTGTGGTCAATCAGTCCAACCTAATTAAAAGGGTGGGGAGCTATCATGCATGGGTTGTAAATAGCTCCTTTTTGTCCTTACCACCCTTAAGGCAGGAATTTAGGTTCATTGAGAAAGCAAAGCTGTTTAAAAGAACAGTGTTCAAATTAGGTGTGCAGCTTGGGAACTTAGTCACAGTAAAGAGAAATTTCTGATTTCATATTCAGGACATCTTTCTGCCTGGCCAGAGAGAAATTTGACTTGGTCTGTGTGCAGGTTTTTGCTGTCAGAGTTATGCTGTTAATGAGTTCAAACAGGCGTAATTCCTTATTGACATACCTGGTCTATCATAAACAACAGTGTAAGCTCAGTTGCTTTTGCAAATTTGTGGTTTTAGAGTCTCCTGAACTCATGAGGTAGGTGTACTATAGGAGTGCAAAACGTGGTTTTACTGGTGTTGGCACTTAGACTTTATGTTCATTCAGTATTCCTAAACTCCTGTCTTCCCTCCAGAGAAATACCCTACAGTAAAATGGAATTTGACAACTATAACTCCTTAAAAGAAAACTGTACTTGCTGGGAAAAAAAAAAGAACAAACCAAACCAAACCAAAAAACCCCTCACACAGTAATCTAAGAATTAGAGGAATTTATAGGTTAGGTTAAATAGGGTGCATGCACACTCTAAAATAATCTAAAGGACTCAAAATCTAGGAACACTTTGTAATCATTAACCCTGGGAGGAGTACCTGTTAGAGGTTCATGAAGTTCTTGAAAGTATTTGTAGAAGGGTACAGCAGACCCAGTGAATATTTCTGTGCATTGCATGTTCAATAACAGCTAGTAGATAATGTAGTCAGAGGTAACGGTAAAGATCAGATACCTAATTCAATACACAAAGAATAAATTCTAAGGAGCATCTTGAAAATTGAAAAGTTGTAATTGGAGAAACTGCCTTAGCATGATAGATTCACCAGGATGACCTACTTAGAAGGATCATCATGTACCTAAAATCAGGTTACAGTTTTTGGTCATAAATATTACATCATGGCTTTTTTAGGGCTGCATTTCTCTTTCAGTAAATGCCTTAGTTTGCAGTGAATAGTGGAATAGTGCCATCACATCTGATTTCTTTGAGAAACGTTCATAGTGTATAAAATTAATCTACAGAAAGGACTAAAAATAAAGATGTTTTCCAATGCAGGTGAATTTCTCTAGTCATTATTTTAAAAGCTAGGGAAATATCTTTTAGCGTCTTAAGCTGTATTACCTGCAAGCCTGTGTAATTTTAGTCTTGTTTTTTTTTTTTTTTTTTTTTTTTTTTTTTTTTTTTTATCGGAAGTACATCATGTTCTTAGTTTATCTAATGCAGTCTGTAACTCTTCCCATCCTCAAAACAGTATCAGTCTTAAAATTGATGTCTGGCATATACTTTTGGGAACAGTGTACACAACTGAATGAGTAAAGGACAGCTTCTCAAAGCACCACTCAGGACTTATCTCATGGAGCTTGGGGAGTAGGTCACACTACTTTAGCAAGGGGAGTAGGATTTGCTTAAGAAATTTCCAGTCATTTATTCTTACTCCTGCATTACATCTCATCATCTCCTTAGTTGTACTACTGCAGCTTTTTCTAAGGTTATGCTGGAAAATAGATTGGTAAAATTATCATGGTTTAACGTAACATTTTCCCCAAACTAGAGGCAGGTGGTCTTTTCTTGGAAAGCACTGATACAGAAATTTTAGCCTGCTTTCTCCCAGAGGTGGGGCTTCTGCAATCCTGTTGCACCACCCCTTAACTTTAGACACATGAGAAATGGTGCACTTTTGTAATTCTGCTGTTCTTATGGGGTGCTGCCAAAGAAGGATCCTGCATTTCTTGCCTCCCTCTGCTTGCATGTTGCTGCCGTTTCTTTCTACTACCCCTAGTGATCGTGCAGATGTGTCATGAGCAAATGATACGCCTGAAAACTGCTCAGAAAATAAGGGAATGGTTGGTGTTCAGTCAAATAAGCAAGCTGCTCTTGGCTCATTGTGTCTGCATTTGTGATCCTGGGGCTCCATAAAGAAAGAAATGGAAAGTTATATCAGGGGAGCAGAGCAGGGGACTGGGACACAGTGCCTTTGTGCTTTTACACAGCTAGATTGGCATGAACTCATGTCTCACCAACACACTCTGGGGAGAATTAGCTGATAATATACAGTTGCTCCAGGCTGCGTCTACTGTCACTAGGTTCAAGAGAGAGAGGAATATGTCTCTTTGTGATTTAGGTATTGGAAATGTCCAAAGTGTGAAAGTGACATCACTTCCATCCACCCAGCTCCCCATGATAATTTTTTTAGGGTGGGACGACATATTGTTAAGACTCGGTGTGAATGCGTTGGCCAAGTTCAGTCAGCTTTGAGTGGCTGGTACAGATCTCAGGAATATTAACTCCCTACAATATTTGTGTAAGTGGGAGGCTGGACAGAGGACAGATATTTCATAATAACTCACTGAGAGAAAAGCTAATATTTGTAGCCTTTTATTACATAGCAGTGAATTCAAATGGACACTGCAGAAAGTCAATACGATGTATGGTGCATGAAATTGTTTTCTTTCAGAATAAAAACTGATATCCATTGAAAGACTAGAGCATAATAATTTTCATTCTGAAAACTGGTAGAGATATTAGATTTCTCTTCAGAGTATTTTCCTTGTAACCTGGGATATTTGCATCTCTGAGGAAAATTCAGGTGTGTATATTTGAAGACCTGAACTGTGGTGTCCAGTACTTAAATGAAGATTGGTATGGTACTGTATCAGTGTGAAGAAACAACTAAGAAGGAGAAAAGTATAAATTTTTTTTCTCTTCTGTTTTGCAGGTTGAATATTACAGCTTCACATATACTTGGGCTTTTTCTACTGATGTCCAACATACAACAGATACTCTGAACAGTATTCATCAGATTCCTCTGCAGCATAACGGTACTCCTTCTTTAATACAAGATGGAGGAAACATACAAAGATAGGACTTCACTAATGAAAGGGGCAAAAGATATTGCCAAAGAGGTGAAGAGGCAAGCGGTGAAAAAAGTGAATAAAGCTGTTGACAAAGCTCAGGATGGCTACACACAAAGGTCCTACAACCGATTCCAGGATGAGGAAGATGATGATGATTACTATGTCCAAGGAGGAAATTATGGCATAGAAGTTAATGATGATGAGGGATCAAGTGAAGCAACTGAAGGGCATGATGAAGATGATGAAATTTATGAAGGGGAGTATCAGGGAATCCCCAACATGGGGCAGGGCAAGGATGGCATGGTGGCCTTAGGTCAGCCTATGCATGATGAATATAAGGATCGTCATGAACTGGAAACGGAGAGGAAAGCTGATGAAGAAGAGCTAGCACAGCAGTACGAACTGATAATACAAGAATGTGGCCATGGTCGTTTTCAGTGGGCCCTCTTCTTTGTATTGGGAATGGCCCTGATGGCTGATGGGGTTGAAGTTTTTGTAGTTGGATTTGTGTTACCAAGTGCTGAAACAGATATGTGTATACCTAATTCTGGATCAGGATGGCTTGGTGAGTAAAGTCTCTGATCTGTCTTTTTGCTATTACAAGTGTTGCTTACAGTTCACCTCAGTATGTATTTGTCAACAACAATGCTTATATAAAAATGTTTTTATTGAATATAAATAATCAATCCACAAAGTACATTAACAGTTAATATGGATTTAATGAAGATCATAATTTCATTTTTTAGATAATTGTTTTCTTTTTCAGTCAGTAAGTGTAAATAAATCACTAAAGTGGAAGACTGCAGAGTAAAACTTAAGAGGAGAGGGATACATTTTTTTCTCGTAAACAAGAATACACATCCAGATGAACTAATTAAAAAAAAAAAAAAAAAGAAAGAAAACCACAGTCAGAGCACTGGAATTCTGCTGGATTTGTACAGGCGTAATAAAGAGCAGATGATACAACTGTCCAGCAACATTGTCATACTGTGTGGGGGCCTTCTCAATTACGAGGCGTAAACCAGTCTGGGAAATACAGGAAATCCAGGAAAAAATGCCGTTTAGCCTTTTCCCTCCTTTTCTCTTTTACTCCTTTATCCCAATGACTGTTCCCTAGTCATCCAAAATGTATAATGTTTATTTTGAGCTGGGGGGGAGGGCACGGAAGTCAGAGTCAGGAGGACAAATGGCTGAAGACGAGCATGGATTATTCTTTTTATGCCTACGGAGTTGAGGGAGGTGGGTTGTGTCTCGTTCCGGTGCCTCTCCCTTCCCGTGGTGCAGCAAATAGGCAGGCTGGGCCGGCCTTGTGTGACTCGATGAGAGTCGCAGCGCAGCCATCAGGTCCATGCTTGTCCTTCCTGGGCATGCCCGGGCCCAGCGGGTGAAGCAAGGCTCTCACGAGGCAGGGCTGTGGAGAAAGAGTGTGGAAATGGTTCCCTGAGGAAGAGGGGAGGTAGGACCATGGGGGCTTAGGATGTGGCAGGAGATGGCATGTATGTGTGTAGTGTAGATCAGCAGCTTGGGCCTGAAGGACCCGGCAATTACAGAAAAAGGAGGGCTTCGTATAAAATATTTAGGAACCTTTGTCTTCTAGTAGATGTACTGTTTGTTCCCTGTATATTTACAGCTCATGGTTCTGTTTCAACAGTCTCATTTTAACTTAGCTCAGTTTCCTGATTTTATGCCTCTGTTCACTGTCAATTAGAAGGACCCTGAGATACTAACTGCATCAAAATTAGATTCAGAATTTTAAATAACACTATTTGTGCTATTTAAATAATATAGAAGCTTTCTCAATAAACCGTTGAGCCCATGACTGATTGGATTCCTGGCATAGTAATACTAGCTGTTTGGCTTCATATCGGGTCTATTGGCAGTTTCAATAAAATGAACTGTAGTCACCCTCATCTGTTTGTCTAAGCCTCCCTCTGTGTCAGAGGATCATGAGTGGAAACAGGAACTGAGTTCTCAGATGACTGGGTCCTTTGAGGTATTCCTTGTTGTTTGATCATTTGTTGTTAGAAATTAACTCCTCTGCCTATTTGTACAGTGCAGTGATTAAACTTCTAATAAAAGAAATTAAATTATCTAATTTTTAATAGTTAAAGAGGCTGCATGCAAAATAATCTGTTTGGTACTGCTTGTTTACACAAATTTACAAACTTTGTGTTTGTCATTCTTGGACCTGTGAGTTTTCAGATCTCCTTACAGAAGGAATATGAGTAAACATGTCCATCTATAGCCATTTTGGAGCTCTGTGAGTAATTCAAAGAATAGAGAAAAAGAAGAAAAACCAAAATAACCCCAAAAGATATCTCTAGATAAATGTCACTGTGTCAGCACAGATAATAACACAGAATACATTTTATAAAAACAGTGTATGCCCAACTTCTTTATAATGTGATTTTGTTACCCAGTACTTGGCAGTTGAGGACATCTTTAAACTCTACTAATCATTTTTCAGAAGTCCTCTCTACTGCTGGAACAAAACTGATGGCGCTCAACCCCATTTTTAAATTACTGATAACACTGTTTTACCACATGCACCCTCCTAAAAACTTGTATGGTCAAAGTTGTCTTCATTCCCCAGGATGATATCAATATAAGAGTAGCCACCATACCTCTCTGCAATAAATTCATATGGGGTTAAGGAAAAGAACAAGGTTATGCAACATTAAGAGGGAGTTTCATGATGCTTACACAGTCATTAGCTAACTGATCCACCTAGGCAGTTCCTTCCACATACATTAAACATTAAACTGGGAAAAGGATCTTTTCATAGTTAAGACATTTTGAACACTTTTGTACTCCTGGCTTCTCTGATTGTCAAGTTATGAGTGTGGAGAACATGGCCATAATGCTCTTTCTTTGTTATACCTGCTATATAGAATTTTAATTTGGGGGCAAACACACTATATTTTCTAAAAATAGCATTTCATTTAAACAGTTGCTGTAAGCATTATAGAGTTGTCTGGAACTGGGTGTGGGAAATATTGTTCCTGTGGAAGCAGGTGGCCATGAGGATCCACAGCCACCTCTTAAGGTCTGATGCGTGACGAGAAGATGGTTGAGGATTTCCCTGTCACTAGATTTCTTATGATGTTGTCTTGAGTTATATTGGAATGACTCTGTCAATGTTTAGCTAAAATTCAATACAGAAGCTGTAAAATTCCTCAGATGCACATATATGTGTGTGTGTATGTATACATAAATGACGTTCACTGACAAAATTAAGGAACAAACTCTGGAAAGCTTAGGTGTGCAAGTAATGTATTCTCATGCCTAAAATATGGAAGTTATAATGAATATCCTCATGTCTTCTATTTGTAATAACATAACACTAGTCTCTGACCTGTGGTATTAACAAACAAATAATTCTATACTAAAAGATTAGCATACAAAAGCAGGAAAGAACAGATATAAGCAGTTTCTTTCCAAGTGTGTATTGAAGGCATTCCAACACATGGTGGTTTTATCAATAATTTCACAAAAATTATATTACTTGCCCATTGCTAATAGAAATGTATCATAGTCTGCAATTCATCAGTACACTGATCTACATATTTCTTATAACCAGTGTAGATATACAGCCTTTTCAGACAGCATAACCTTAATTCCAGTCAAACAAAATATTCATCACGGCAGCTAATGCCTAGTGAAAGCATTTTTATATGATCATAACTAGGCCCTCATAGACATGCATTTCAATTATTTTGCTGCTGTGATTTCACATCATAATTACATCCTAACTGGGGTCTTACAGACAGGCACATTTTTTTTTCATTTTTATAATTCCATAATCTGGAGGGCTTTAATATTATTAAAATACTAAAGTTATGGGACCAGGGCTAAGAGTTACAAGTTGGAAACGGTACACATACACAGTATTTCTTTTCCAGGCAATTTTCTAGACTGTTGAGAAACATGCTAATAACATGTTAATCTGTTATTGAAAAGCACTTATTAACTCAGTTGTAAAAATGGATTTCTCATACATCATGCCATGGCAGTTTACTAGGGAACATGAACTAATTAAAAGCATACGACAATATTCATAGGGCCTCCCTATTGCATTTTTATTTAGTTAGTTGCACCAGGTCAATTTCCCAAATTCCATCCCTATTGATCCTTGTATGAGCTTGAGGTCACTGTTGATTGATCACCAGCAGCATTTCAGACACCATAAAGTCATGTGTTGAAAGTGCTGATCATAATCATGAACTGATTTCTTGATGCCTTTTGAGTTAAATAATAAAATACTATGTTTTTTCATCTCCAAGCAGTTGTTTTATTAAAAATAGGGAAATTAACTTGCTTAAACTCTTCCAAGATTATATTGATGTGTCACTGAGTGTGAGAGAAAGGCCTCCCTTCCCTGCTCTATAACCTGCTTGTACTTCTCAACTCCTACATGCCTGTGGATCCATGGTGGCCTCTTGGGTTCTGGCACTGATGAGGCACGGACTGTACCTTCAGGAGGCAGGTTGTAGACTCAGGCCTAAAGACATTGTTTTAAACCTTTTCCTTCCTGCTTGCATCTTATACCTTTGGTTTTACATGCAGCTCAGAACTGGACTGATTTTAGATTAATTCTCTGGTCTCTTATTTGGGTGTACTTTTCTACATAACTTTGTTTCTATGTCTTTGCCTGCAGGTTGTTGTTAAATTTTATAAATTTTTATATCTTTTCTATAAAATTTACATTATGGACTTTTCTTTCCTCAACATCTCTGCATCTGAAATAATGAAATATACTTTTCCCTAAGCCAGGCCAGATGTATCTGTTCAGGATGCCATGCCACTGCTGACCATCTCCTCACTGTTTTTTCCATGGGACCTGTATGTGCTAACCCTCATGTGTAAAACTGTTGACAGTTGCACTGCTGTCACCATTGTTAGCAGAAGATACAGGCTGACTGCTGCTTGGCTGGCCTGTGATGCCAGTCTTCATGGCACCAATTGACATATTTTTCAGACAGTTACCTCCATCCTTCTTTTGTACTTTATCACCTCAGCACTAGAAAAAAAAAAAAATCATATAAAGGTCCCAGCATTAAGTGATTATCTTCTTTAAACCTTTTTTTTGCATTCATGTCAGCAAAACCTGATAACTGGTTAGCCACTCCTATGCTCTGACTGCCATCCTTTCCAGAGTCCAATGGTTTGGCATTTCTTCCTGATAGTCTCCCTGGTCTGTTTTGAATCCGTATATCATCTTCTGCATGAAGGTTAGACTGAATGATCTCTTGAGCATGAACAGTCTTTTTGTTCTGTGTTACTTATCATTATATGTCAGCCAAGTCCTTTATAAGGGTTCGTAGATAGTACAGTAACAAAACCAGAAATAATCTTTTTTATAATAGATATTTTTAGCTGATGAGCCATACAGACAGTTTCTTCCACCTAAAAAACTCAAGTACTGTGGTAAATCACAGGGCTGGTAATGCAGATATTGTGAATATGAATAGCAACAAACAGCTTACTTTGGAAGTCAAAAGATTTTCTAAAACCTCATGTCATTGTCAAATAATGTCTTGATGCAAGAGTTTACCCTGATATTAT